GGTATGGAAACATTTAACTCAGTAATTTGTTTTCCAAGNGGCGAGTTTTATTGATATATTCCATTCCTTGGACGCGTGATATGATGTTTATATAGTTAATGTACCCGTCCCTGTCCTACTTCCATCTACCGTTGCGCGCCCTCGCGTTTCTAGAAGGTTTCGTATTCACTTGATGTGGTTGAGCAATGGAGCAGCCGCGAAAGCGAGCGCCAAAGTCGCAAGAGGTTCGGAGAGCTTTTTTTCCCGTCTTTTCGGCTCCTCCGACTTTATTTTGATCGAGCGCCAAAGAACTGTGGTTTGTTTCGTCCCGAGGCTACTTGAGAAGTGTTTAGCAGGTAGTCAGTAGCTCTAATAGAACTTATAACTTCTATCAGGGCTAATAAAAGAGCATAAGTCTTAATGTTGCTTACAAAACGATAAGAGTTACTCAGGGCTCAGAGTTACTCTGAGCAAACCTCTTCAATGGCGTAGAGATATCATAACTTCAGTGGGTCGCGTCAATCAAGTACGATTGACAGAAATTTTGTCATCAGCACAGCATTTAAACGTGATTCCTCAGATACTTCTCTTTCTCTGTTCCCAGGGCTGGGTAGCGTTGCACTTCACGCTGAAGGTAAGTTTGAGTCTTAACTATGTTAAGATTGCTACTTTGACAACGATACGCGCGCTAAGATCCCGGGAGTCGCATGTTCTGGCTGTATTTGTCATCACTTTGTTGGTATATGCTGCCAAAATCGACAAACGCATACGCTGGCATAAGAAGGTGAACTATGCGGAATATAAATCTCTTCGGTTGAGCTGGATAGAAAAGCCGACCACAATGAACCATTCATAGTGTAAGCGAGTCCTCTTGAACATTACATGTTAAGCTTTTCATCGGTTTTTACTTGCTGAGTGAATCCTTTAGTGAGATGGTTCGATGAATGACAGCWCTGAATTGTGATAAAATCCGTTTTTATGAAATTCCAAGTTTTTGCATTTGTGTGTTCCTTTGGGTTGGTTCGAAGGACGAATACGGTTAGTTGTCGATGTTCTTTTAAGCACTGAAAGTAAAGTGTTTTTACCTTTGTTTTTGTGTGGGATGAACCACTTCAGTGAATTGTTCGTGTTCAAGGTTTTAAAAAACCAGGGTAAGGGTATTTCACTTAAGCATCCCTTCGTGTTGGTTGAATCCATGGGCTGACTAATTCGAAAGACGACTACAGTCAATTGCAAGAGTTCTTGTATGTATTGAGGGGGAAGTATTTTCGCGCCGCCTTTGATTTTCTGCGGGACGAATCCTCCGGTGGTATGGTTCGATGCTACGCCGAACGACATTGAATTGTGACCGTTGTTTAGAGCAACGAGAGTGAAGATTTTCCTCTTGCACATTCATACCCTATAGCCAAATATTCCAAAAGGCGACCGGCAGCGAATTGTGAGTTTTCTCAGTTACAAGCTTTGAGGGTTTTACTCGAGTCGTTCGGCCGATGGGTTAATGGTTCTAAGGGCGACTACAGTGAACTTTGAATGTTCTTTTGAACGCCGAGAATGCAGTTTTTCCTTCTTAATTGTAGGTTAAATCCTCTGGCGGGTGGGTTCGGTGAAAACTGCTCGACCTGTGAGGCTCTGTTTGTTTGACAACTTAGGGGTTAGTTAAAAGTGAATTGTCAGAGTACTTGAATTCAGTTGCCTTTCTCAATGATTTGTTGGAACGTTTGATAAAACAATGCTTGTGACCTGCCAGTCAGTGTGAATTTGACCCATCTTAAGCTCTCCTTAGATCTAAAATTATTACTCCAAAGAAGAGTCTTACTTCAAAATCAATTGGAGAGATTTTGCCTACCCGGCGAAGAATTTTAAGTTATATTTGGCTGTGATACAGGGAAATGCACTGAAAGCCATGATGTAAGTATTTGGAATTATCCTTGACTATCGAACTATAGAGAAACGAAAAAAAATAATTGTCTTAATTTCGTACATAACTCTCTATTATCTCTAAATGTTACAGATATTTTGGGACAGGACAAAGATTCACGGTGTTCTCCGGAAGTTTATTTATGCGATTTAACTTCGTCGCATGAAACTAGACAGGAACGCATGTCATGTAAAGCAGAGTATTAATAACTGTGATGGCATGTCTCTTTCTCCTTCTACTTGCTTTTGACGAGTGCGAAGGGAGTTTGCAAACAGTGCTAAGAAAGGTTCAGATCGAGTCAGTGTTAGACTGTCAAGTCACTGTTACTGCCAAAAGGCGAGTCTTTTCGAGGCCGCTTACAGCAGTGATTACAAACGCTCGATCGGAGGGAGAGGTTTGAACTAATGAAGAACTAACAAAAAATACAAGCTTACAAAATGCAGAACTATAAAACTGAAAGGCGGCTAAAGCGAACGCGATGAACATTATAACTAAAAACTTACATTGTAACGGCGCTGTAGCCAGCGAAAAGGCAAGTCTAAACCAGATCTTCTCTTTAGACAAGATGTTCTCTCGATGAAATCAACGATGAAGCTAAAAAGCTAGAATATTAACATCATGTAAATTATACCGAACCCGGGAAAGAAAAACAAAACGTATTCCCGAAGGAATCTAATGAACTGAAATAAAATGCAGAGAATGCTAAATTCTACATCCCGGCCCCTAAGTGCGAGATTGTACTAAGCGAGTCACTTACACCTAATGAATTACAATAAACAACTGCCAAATCTTAAGTATCAGTGCACTCCAAGAAGTCTACTTAGCGAACAAGGCTAATTGAAGGCTAAGTATAAATTAACTAAATGTTTCTCAGTTTTTAGTGTTCTGAGGACATTCGTTTTCAACCAAAAGACAGAACTTGTCGACGGGTCTTTCGTAGACAGCAGTCTTGGTGAACACTTTCGCCCGGTGAACAAAGCGTCTTTTGTCGGGGAAGGTTTCAACAATTCTGCCAAGCGGCCAGGAATTGCGATGCGACTCAGATGTGACCAGAACGATATCGCCAACGGCCAAGTTCCTCTTTGGGTGCACCCACTTTTGTTTAAGTTGCAAAAGGAGAAGGTATTCCCTACTCCATCTCTTCCAGAAGATGTCCGCTAAATATTGTACTTGCTTCCATCGACGACGCGACAGAGAATCTTCTCTCTTGAATANATGTAATTCGGAATATCGCGGTTTAAACCTTTGTTTTTACTCGCATTCAGAAGTCTTTCCCGATAGCGCAGGAGCCAGGCAACAATTTTCTTTAGGCGGAACCAGGAAGAACATTTCTGGAAACACCGCAACAGTGGACAGCTTTGCTTGACTAGTGAGGACATGCACACCTTAACATCCATCTTTACTTCAGGATCTCCATCGAAGACGTTGTTAAATGCTTCGGTCTGCATTGGCCACATGTGTTCGGGCTTCCAAAGGTATTCCGGCCCCATTAACCAACGCCGCTGACTAAGGAAGACGTCGGCTGTCAATCCTCGAGAGACGTCGTCGGCGGGATTCATGTTGCCACTCACATGGTTCCACTGATGGGGTTCAGAGCCATCGCGAATAAGTGCGACACCATTGGCTACAAAAGTGTGGAATCGCCTTGTTTCGTTCTTCACGTAACGTAATACTGCGGTGCTATCTGTCCTGAAGACGGACTGGGAACTAATCGGTATCTCTAATTCTCTCTTCAAGACCTTGTCCTGCTTGACGGAGATTCCTGCAGAACACAACTCAAGCCGCGGGATCGTAATCGTCTTTAGGGGCGCCACACATGACTTGGCACACAGAAAAGAACAGTGAACAGCACCCACGCCATTAGCAAGAGGCAGGTAGCAAACCGATCCGAAACCGCTCTCTGAGGCATCAGAGAAATGGTGCAGCTGGCTTGAAGAGATGTAGTCGAAGCCAGCTGGCTTAACACAGCGATCGACGGAAAACTGCGATAGTTTAGGAAGATCAGCCATCCATCGCTCCCAGCGTGCCTTGTGCTCTTCAGGAATAGTATTATCCCAATCTAGCTTGACTCGACATAGGTCCTAAAGCAACCGTTTGGCTGGTAACACGAAGGTTGCGGTGAGGCCGAGGGGGTCGTAAACAGAACCGACAATCGAAAGAATTCCTCGCCATGTGGGCGGTTTGAGCTTAATATGCACTTTGAATCCAAAGGTGTCTGTCTCCTCGCACCATTTAACACCGAGAGCTCTCTCGACATGGAGGTCATCCTAACTAAGGTCAAGACTTTTCACTTCTTTGGCGCGCTCGGCTTCGGGGATGGTTTTGAGAACCCTGCGACTAGTGCTGATCCACTTTGTCAGCCTAAACCCGCCCTTTGAGAGTAGTAGCCGTAGGTCCCTCGCGTGCTGTGAAGCCTCTTCGACTGAAGGTAGGGCCTTGAGACAATCATCTACGTAAAAGTTGTTTTTAACCGTGCCCAGAACTGCCTCTGGGAAATATTGGCTGTTGTCTTCAGCTGTCTTGCGCAAGGCAAAGTTCGAACATGCTGGAGACGAGGCTGCACCGAACAGA